AATTCCCCAGCACTGTTCCCATCCCCCCAATTCCCCAATAAAAAAAAATCTTAAAAAAAAAAAAAAAAAGTTAGGTTCCTTGGGGTGACTGGTTAGCTCAGTTGGTTAGAGCGTGGTGCTGATAACACCAAGGTTGCCAGTTCGAACCCAGCATGGGCCACTGTGAAAGCAATGTATAACCAATGACCATGGCTGTTCCCCAATAAAATAAAATTTAAAAAAATTTAGGCTCCTGGAAGGTGCCAATGTATACTCTTAGATATTTATTTTATTTTATTTTATTGGGGAACAGCCATGGTCATTACACTTTGCTTTCATGCTTCAATGGCATAGTTGACTCTTTTAGGGAGGGCACAGCTCTCAGTGGCCCATGCAGGGATTGAACCGGCAACCTTGGTGTTATCAGCACCACCCTCCAACCCTCTGAGCTAACCGGTCACCCCCTAATACTCTTAGATTTAAAAGCTGCCAAGGACAATAGGAAAGGTTTCAGTAATGAAGGCCAGAGTGATCATGAGGGCCTGGGCTCAGAACCCAAACCTCTCATTTTGGCACAGAGCTCCCAGCATAAGTACAAGTTGTATCCAGGCGCTGAGAACCCTAAAAATGTTCACCATGATTAATATGTAGTGAGGAGTTCCTATATGTAGGGCATTATGTTAAGCACTTCTCACACATGATGTCAGTTACTCAGTGGGAGAAGGTAAGTGAGAGACCATATGGGACAGAGGAAGCCACCAAGGCAGAAAGGAATCCTATAGCCCAAGAGCTGAACGGACCTTAGCAATTGTATTAGTTTGGGCTAAGGCTGCTATAACAAAGTGCAACAGACTGGCTTAAACAATAGAAACCTAATTGTCTCACAGCTCTGGAGACTGGATGTCTAAAATCAAGATGTCGGGCTGGCCGAGTGACTCAGTTGGTTAAGAGCTCACTCAAGAGTTTGAGCTCTGAGCAACAGCAGTTCGAGTCCTGGCCCGAGCTGAGCAGCTGCTGAGCTGCCAACAGGTGGCAGGATGGCTCAGCTAANTCAAGAGTTTGAGCTCTGAGCAACAGCGGTTCGAGTCCAGCCCGAGCTGAGCAGCCGCTGAGCTGCCAACAGGTAGCAGGATGGCTCAGCTTAAAAAATAAATAAATAAATAAAGAGCAGCTGTCTTAGTGGTGTGGTGGAGGCAGAGCCTTAGTGGGTGGGAGAGTGAGTAGAAAGGGAAAATGGCGGGGTGGGGGGGAGCAAACCTAGGCAGCACTTTTAAGGAGTTCAACCGGAAGGGGAGGCAAAAATGAGGGACAGAGAGGGTGACAGTTAAAGGAGGACACAGAGTCAAGACATTTGCTTTTTCTTTTATGAAGGGAGAGGTCAAAAACAAAGAGGGGATAATTGAGGTGTAAGAGCCCTGAGGAAGTGGGAGGACATGGGATCCAGAGCCCCTTTGGAGTGATTACTTTTAGAGGGAGGGAGGACAAAAAGGATAGTACTGTGTGGGTCAGTGTGTAGGTGAGGTGGCAGGAAGCTGAAGGAGTTCCTATCAGATGGCTCCGTTTTCCTTGTGAAGAAGGCAAGTTGGTCTGAGAGAGGATTAGCAAGCACATTTAGGGGCCAGTTGCAGTTCAAGCCCCTGAACTTGCAATGGCACCAGTCTTTGGGGAAGTATACCCTCAGCTCCTAGCAGCCTGGCAGTAGGGATGGAACACATGAACAGTTGGTGGTCACAGTTTTGCATGGTAAGGGCAAGAGGGTAAGCAAATTGTTGGTCCAGGGCTAGCAAGGGAAGGAACTGAAAACAAGAAGAGGTTACCAGAGAGAAACTAGCAGGGTCAAACATTTATTGAGGGCCTACTATATCTCTGGTAATATGCAGGGAGACAGAAATACAAAGATAGAGCAGTAGTTCCCAAACCTGGCTGTGCCTCAATCAAGCTTAATAAAAATACAGACTTATTGGCCTCACTCCTGGGGTCCAGTAGGTCTCAGGTTGGGGATCTCCTATGGCTCTTTCATAGCCAGGCTTGGAAACTACTTGCACCAAGGGAAAAAGTAGACAAGGAAACAGACGTGGAATATATACAGTGCCGTCACTCTGTGACTCTGATCTATACAGTGTGCTGTGGAAGCCAAGAGGGCTTGGAGTGAGGAATGAAGAGGGATGACATGGAAAATTTCCTAGAGAAGGTGAGCCTGTGCTTGAGCATGACTGGTGAATCAGAGTTTGAGCAAAGAGAGAAGACGCCAAATAAGCATTCCAAGTACAGACAGGGAACAGCGTGTGCAGAGGCAGGCCTGCATTTGTGGAACTCCAAGTCGTTTGGTGTGGCTGGAGCAGAGGGTGTAAACGGGAGTGGTGAGCTCTCAGGAGAACGAAGCAAGAACCAGATTGTTTTAAGACTCGTTTACTGTGCTCCACTTTCCATCAAAAGAGCATTTCTCTGACACAGCCAGGGAACACTTAAGAAGGAGGCCAAGACTCCTGGCTTTCACAATAAATAACTTAGAAAGCAGGCTCCTCAGGGCCTGGAAGGGTTAGACCCAGAGGCTGGTATAACTTAGCAGCAGATGTGATCTTTGCAGGCCACTAGGTGGTGAACAGCATTTTTGCTCTGACTAGAAACAGATTCATATTTATTCACTTACTTTGAGGGAAAGGCAGATGTCCTAAGCTCAGAATTATTGAAGGAGCCTTCCTTCTGGGCTCTGAGCCAAAAACCAGGATAAGAGGCAGCCTAAAGTGAACAAATGTAAAGTATATGGATGTTGTGGGAAGATGTTTTCCCCCCTAAATGGTTTCTCCTCCTTTCCCTGGCCCTGAAAGCTTGAAGTAGACTCCCACGCCCTCTCTCCACTCCTTGTTCTCAGAAATCTCCAGGCATATATTTCAAGATAAACCACACAAGCACGGGCATTTCATTTGTTTAGCAAACCCAAAGGTCAGGTTTGGGGACTGTTGAAGTCAGACTCTAGCCACTTAACTATCTGCAGTCTTCCAAAATATAGTCAACCTGGAATAGTCTATGAAGTCAGGGCAATTTAGCTTGCAAACAAACACATACTGCCTGGAGGACAGCCTAGGACTTTGCTATCCTGGACGAGTGTCATCACCCAGAGAAGACACAAGACTCTTTCTGTGACCCTGCATCATCAAGCTCAAGGCTAGAGTGCTTTTGAAAGTACTCTTAATAATGAAAAGAAAAATCACTCTCCCAGCCGTCTGAGATTGCAGTTGGAGTACCCGGCGCTATGGCCTCCAGAGACCTATGAACTCAGGAGCCCAGAAAGAAAGCAGGACATGGTCCCCACGCCATCTCTCAGTACAGAGGAGCACTCATTCCCAGAGCTAGAAACAAAGCAGAAGGAGGCGTGGAGGATCGCAGAGGAAGGCAGCGCCTTGCTGTCTGGAAGCCCAAGCCTTGGCTCCACCTGTAGTTAAGCCTTATCCAGTATGCTGCCAGCCAAGGGGTGTCCTCATTAGGCAAATAGGAAAACAAGCTTAGCCTTCGAGTTCTGCAGCTCTGAGTGACCCTCGGGATCATCGAGTTCAAGGACAGAGAAATAATCTCCCATTCTAAGCCTTTGCAGTCTCTTTTGAGTCCTACTGGCTCTGTGGCAAATGAGCTTTCCATTAAAAAGTTAGGTTCCGGGCCGGCCGAGTGGCGCGATGGTTAAGAACTCGCTTGGGATGCCAGAGGGCCC